CGTAATTAGCAATGACGATTAGGCGTGATGTAACGATTTCTTTGAATACCTACCCTATGGAAAAGCAGATGTACGAGCGTTCACAGTTGCATCCGGGTTTGAATTTTTCAAGCAGCTTTGTTCGTGTTCCAGAGTAGTGCGAGTATTCCGTACGTGAAACAATTCAGAGAGTGCGATATTTGAATGTTATATAAAATGTAGGAAGGTATCTTAAAAATTTCGAAACAAAACGATAAGAACGTTTACATCACTTGAAAAAAAAATTCCGGATTATTCGAGATAAGGAGAATCTGTATCGTTAAAAAGGAAAATAATGAAGGAGTCGATATCTGTGATTCACTCTCTTTACGATCATATTCACTTTGCGTGAAACGGGCAATGCGCCGTTAGAACAGCGACATTGGCTTTGTGCTTTCTTTTATAACGTCAGGTTGCCTCGTGCCTCAGCCAATCGATATACGGCCAGCAATGTCGCTTTATCTCACAGTTACATCTTTTGTGAGCCAAACGTGATTTCTGCCAGCTGGGAGAGCGTTTACTGACAATTGTCCTAAATCAAACGATAACGTTGAAATAAAGAGAAGAGCTCGAACGTGAGTTGTTTTGTTCGATCATATTTCTCAAAGGTGATAGTACGTGATTCTCACTGTGAAATCATACCCGTCATATCACGATGATACGCGAACAATGGATAAAGTTCTCTCGTAGCTTTCTATATTTTGCTTACTTAAACGAATTATTATTATATTTTTTTGTACGGAAAAGGAACACTGGAAAAAGTCTGATTACATTAATTGACATACTGGTTAATGATATATGAATAAATTAGAATTTTCTGGTCAAATCTTATAATTCTAATTAAGATAACTAGAATTCTGATTGATATGATCAGAATTTTTTCTCCTTTGTTGGTTTTTTCAACTAGAAATTTTTTAGTGAACGATTTTGTTGAAGTATCGAAAACTTTAGCTGAATACAGATCTGAAAATAACTTTGTTGAGTCATCAAAATAATTATACAGATCGTTTAGACGATAAAAAATGATAAAAGATATCGTAAAAGGTTCTAACATTTCAGTAACCAATTTAAGTTTTACATAATTATTTTAGTTCAAATAAAATTATTTTCCAATTTTTGTATCTAGCTAAATTTTTAGATAATTCAGCAAAATTATTTTTTCGCGCCTTTGTCTTAAAAGGCTCTTCAACGATTTAAAAAGAGTAAATTTATATAATAAAAATAAGATGAAGAAATGAATTTAATAAATTCGAAAATATTCAGCTATGCTATTCTTATTTATTTCTTTGGAAATTCCTTATGGAAAAATTATTAAATATTATTAAAAATTTAGAAATTTTTTGTGATATTTGTCACTTGCATTTTTAAGTCTCTAATCGATCGCACGTACTCGAAGTATTGTCATCTATTTTTGGCTGCATTATCATCGCTCTCGTTTTTTACGTGATAAGAAAAAGTGCTGATAATTGTAACAACATTACCAGCTTCTGCGTACATAATTGCATTAACACCACGATTATTACCTTATATCCCTTGTATAATCTCATTAGTCAGCGAATTAGATTGTACTTACTATTATATATATGGACTGTAATTAAAGGACGAATCATTTTTCGTTTGTGCAATGATACGTATGTACTGAACAACAAACAACATGCCGCATGAAACTTCAAAATATTTTTATCCATGTTGTTTTCTTACCTTTTGTATTTACAACTAAATTTTGATTTATTATGTTAAAATAAATATATAGTTAGTTTCAATGTTATCTTTAGTGATTAATTCTTGGATCCTAAGTTCATTTTTTCAAATTAATCAGTTTGAAAGAATGTGCTAATATAAATACGGATGCGAACATTTTCGAATAACGTCGTAAGGTTTCTTCGCTCCTACGATTCATCCTCTTTAAGATGAGTCGTTACGCTAAACGGCTGATTGCGAGTGATAATGCCATCGCATTCAGAACATTTTGTCCCCGTGGAAGAGTACAATTGGATGATATGTTGCAGGCGTGTACGTTTCTAATTAAATTTGTCAATTGATTCCGAGAAGCTTCCAGAACGATTAATAAAACGCGAATGCGGCTCGTGTAGGAACGTGCAAGGACGTTGTTGCGTGAAGAGTCGCGGAGCTCGAAGACGAATTATTCTGGAATTATTCTGGTTTCGCTTATGTGCGTTCGTAAGCGGCGTCTACAATAAGAAAATTTAGTCTTTAAGCCTTAAGCCATAAGAAATTGATCAATCATAGTCGATTATTCTCCTCACATTCGAGTTGATCAGTTTCTCAAAGCTTAGGTTGTACGTCTTAAAATTTCATTGTAGACGCTTTGCATACGAACGTATATCATTTTTTTTCTCCGAATATGTATCGAAGAAATCGACGCGTCTTTTATTACATTCTGACATATCGCAGGAATATTATGAGACTATATTAAACATTTAAACGTAAATAGATGACCTATTATCACATTCCGTATCGATAACATTTGAACTTGGAAATCGCTTCTAATCATATCTTCGATTTTTCTTGAGACTTCCATATAATTGAGGACTGTATGAAATTTACTTGTTACGTCATTTTTTAAATTGGAGTTCATGAAGGATATCGTAAAACATGCTCGATTTTTGTTGTTTATAATTTTACAAATTACTGAAATTATATACTAGAGATTAATAATTAGAGAAATCCTCGTTTGTTATTCAAATCTAAGTGCGATTGATACTGTCAAGAACATTATCAGTCATTATGGATTTTTCACAATACACACATTCTTCAGTAAAAATAACTTTGCTGAAGAATCTAAAAATTTGATTAAATATAGATCTATAAAAAGATATATAATTTTGTTGAATCATCAAAATAATGGGTGTGTTAGCATCGAATTTATAATTCTGGAGAGTTCTGATCAGAGTTCTAGATTCCTTTTAAAAAGTTGAACAGTTAAAAATAATTACGTAGGAATTTCGAGCATGATAAGCAATGCTGCCAAAAGTTTTGACATTCTAGCAATCAGTTTAAATGTTCCACATAATTTTAACGATTCAATAAAATTATATATTTTCAGATCTGTTTTAATTTTTTAATTCTTCAGCAAATTGTTCTTTCCGTGTATACTTTTCTAAATATTGACACATGGAAATATCATAATACATCAAAATATCTCTTTTTAATAATTTATATCGTGGAAATCATTGTTATTCAAAATACAAGATGCGATTATTGATCGCGTAATTATGTTATTATTGCTGAGGCAATATGCTAATATATAATGACTAATATGTAATGGATGAATTATAGATTCTTATTAATATTATTACTTTTAAATGGCCTATTTATCTTAATTGCTGCAACATGCACGCATACATATATACGCAAGCGCGGCAAATTATTTATAAATTGCGCGTCACATAATTTAATCTCATTTACAAAGTGTTGCGGATACACATTTACACTTTACGTAAGTCTGATATTTTCTAATGTCAAGGCAAGGCAAAAAACTGTAGAATAGAATATTTAATTCGCGTGAATTATTCGGCCAAAAACGTTATAGATGTAAACGAACCGACCGATTACACATATTTCTCTCTCTCCGCAACGCGCAAAACACGCATTATTGTTTGGCGGAACGCCCATTCAAATGACGTCGCTAATACGATTCCCAGTCCGACAATACTCAGTAAAGACCTGAGCCCAAAGACGACTGTAACTGACAATTTATCTTATTGAGTCGTGAAAAGTGAGTCGTAGATCAACATATGTTTGACATAACTATGTGACATAACTATATTATGCGGCATACATAGTCATGCCAAATATTATGTTGACCTATAACTAACGACTCACGTTTCATGACTTAGTTACAGCCATTTTTGTGCTCAGGTCCTGACGCGTGTACCATATAAATCGCATACCTTGGCTGCCTGCTGTGGCAGTCGCGCATTTTCCCTTTAACCGTGGATTCCGCTCCGGTTTTTTCCGCACTGTTTCGCTGCGGTAGACGCGATTCGACGGGACGTCATATCATCATCGGTAAAAACTCCCTACCGCTCGCTATATCTCGCTGAAATTTCCACTCAAATGCCAAGGTAGACATGTCTTTTCTGCTTTTTTTGTCCCGTACATTCTCGTGACATTCTGACAGAAACGGTGTATTATCAATGACATTCGCCGACGATGACAGCCACTGCATTTGTATATTTCGCGCGATTACCAGTTATTAATAAACATTTAATAAGATTAAATGCCTTGATTCGCGGTAGTATAGTGATAAACCGATTATCCTTGATCTGGAGAAGAGTTATATATGCATCCTGAAATTACATAAGCATTCCATATATTAAGAATTTCAAGAGTCTTGGCAATACCCACTGTGTTTATGTCCCGAATACGTCAGCTGCTCTTTAAAGAACAACATCTCGACGTCAATCGGACGTTCATATATTCACTGAAAAAAAAACAAAAAAAAACAAGTATTTTGTATATATATATATTGATATTTTAATGATTTATCTTTTTTCCTTTATCGTAATCCTCAATCATGCTTGCGTGTATCCAATGACAGTTCTAAACAGATTGCATTGTTATGTATTTAAAAATAAGTCAATTTTTTTAACCTTTAACTGCAGATCATTTAAATCCGAAGCGAAATTTGTAGACGATTGTACAATCTGTACGATTGATGCTATAAAGTTTTAAATTGCAATATGTAAAGAGACTTTGAATCTTTTTCTATCAATCGTCGTAAAGTATAAATTTATTTGCATTCTGTTTTCAAAATTGAAATAAGACGCTTTAAAATTTAGATGTTGTAGTTTTCACAGCTGTAGTTGAGGGCTAATATATTTTGATGTACTTGATTGCATTACAAGATATAGAATTTGGTTTTAATAATTAAAATGTACATTGCAGTGAAATGTCTAGTAAATGCATGGACGAGAGCCTAGAGGAAGGCTCCAGACTGCAACAGCACTACTGTATAACGCTGGGCGTGGGGCCTCTGTGGTGGTCCTGATGTGCCCCATGCCGCATTGTCTGTATCTACAGTCAACACAGAGAGCCGCGGCGTGGGGATCAAGCAGAGTCAGCTCTCTGTGAGCTCCCACATTGTACAAGTATGTACTTTTTATATTTAAAGACATCTTCAGAAATCGGTTTATTTACAATTGCAAGTGTGAAATAAATGCATTGAACGAGAACTAAATTCTGATTGGTCGCATTTTTTTTTTGTTACGACTTACAGGAGGATGAATTGTTGAAAGCCATAAGAAGCAACGAACCATTGCGTCTAACGTTCACTCTCCACTTGACTGAGAGTACATCCGTCGAGTGGGAGACCGTAGCATGGCGCCGCTGTCTATACATTCGCGTACCCAGCTGCCTTCTGCCTGAAGGATCAAAAGAGGGCTTTGTTTCGCTCTTAGAATACGCCGAAGAAACACTACGCTGCACCAATATCATTGTTTGCCTTCGCAAAGATAGATCAGACCGAGGTACTTGTCGCTTGCCATTCTTCGGCACAAACGTCGAAGATTTTTGCGTTGATGAGAAAGACTCACCGTCTAAATCGTTCTGTTGTTATGGTCTAGCAATGCTGGTTCGTACCTTCATGTTCTTGGGTTTCACGGTCCTGCCGCCAACTCATGCCTTGGTACCACCAGGCAGTGACGCTGGCAATCTCTACATGCTCTATGCCATCGAGTAATCGGCAAGCAGTTCTGCCTCTCAAATTTAACGCGCAGGTATTGATTCGAGAGAAAAGATACTGAAGTTTCTCAGCTCTACAATTTTTTTTCTACTATTTGATTATTTAATCAACTCATTTTTCGTTTACTGTAACGACTTTCTCCTCGCTTTCTCATGAATTTAGTATGTATATGATTTCAGATTAATTATTTGTATTAGTAATTATTTGTATTTTGTTATATTTTATTACAGGTATTACCAAGTCTAAGGTAAAATTCTGAAAAGAAGGACAATTGGAAAATTCTGGGAAACGGCACATTTTTCTTTTATATTTTAAGTTTTAATGTACATATATTAATTTGCCTTTTCTTATTAATTGCAAATTAGGAAATATGAGTTTCGAAAACCACATTTTTATCAAACGATATCTAGTGCGGAAAAACTTCGGCGTTAAATTAAAGAGGCTTGATGAGAAAACAAAAAAAAATTATAGTCGCGAATACGTAGAACGCGTACATAAAAGGCTTTCAATGGGTATATCGATTCATTCTCTTGAACACAATGTTAATAACTCCTATAAGAGCATATAAGCTGCTGACAAAGCTTCCCACGTGAAAGAATTTGACGGAATCTGTAGTCGTATTGAACAACTAACATCACGGCAACGAACTGTCAAATTTTAGAGAAAATTTATTATCGATATATCTCAATGTTAATTGTGGCAGATTGGGTATCACTGCGTTATTCTCCGTAATATATGTATAAGTACATTTGCTTATTATTTTTAAGTATTATCAATATGTATAATCTAGACTTTAATATCTGTTATGTGAGTACCAAATAAGTTTTGATCGCTTTCGTTCTATCATTTAAGAACGATTATTTATGAGTAATTGACTGATATTCTTTATAAAATGTGCAATTATCTTTCTGTAGTTCTGAACATAATTCATGTTTATGAAGTAAAAAGAAATTGCGCAAAAACATCCAGTAAAAACAAAATTTGGATGATCCAGTTGACTTTTCGTAAAATATGAAACTTGAAATTTTCATGATAAAATGTGTTCGTATAAATTGATTACTAGCTAACTTAAAACAGTGCTTCCTATCAAATGGATGGCACAGCTTTGAAAATTTAAAACCACGAATCAAAAACATGAATGTTACATTATGTTGTATGCACTAATCAAACATGAAGAAAAACATTTCATTCGTAGGATAACTGTTCCGATTACTACCGCTTTAAATACATAGTGGTAATTGATATGCTTATTTTGATGTTTTTGAGATAATAGATATCATTTTTTTATGTTCAAGTAAAAACTTTAATATATACAAAATAAAAGCAATAAGTTTGAAAACTAATTATTTAAATATAGAAATAAAAGTAAAAAAAAGAAAATCTAAGGTATTGAACACATGTTACTGCCAGTCTTTATTCAAATACTGCATCTTCAATTACTGCTGTATGTATCTAATACTGCCACCCATTTACTACACACTATCAAAATTATTCTGGAAATCTCGATAAAAATATCTATAAAATATTATTATTTAGTAATGTTTGTTAGTATTATTTACCATATTGTTCTACACTAAGAATACCTATCTGTCACTTCTTTAGTTAAAGAAATTCAAATTGGCAGTAATTCGCAAATTGATATACATATGTTCACGCATAATAGGACTAATTTACTGTCGGCAGTAATGCTGACAAACCTTAAATAATTGTTTCTAACACTGTTATTTCAATAAATCTCTAGTGGAAAAATTTCGCTGAAATTATTCCACGTTTTGGACCACTTTTAGTAAAATTTTAGCTTAATTTCAGCGATTTATAGTTGAAAAATTCATTGTCGGCAAAATTTCAACAAAATTTCCTAGAAATTTCAGTTTAATTTCAGCGATTTTTTAATATGTTAACTGAAAAATTCACTTTCAGTGACATTTCAGCAATTTTCATGAAATTTTTCAAAACGTGGAATAATTTCAGCAAAATTTTTTCACCAGGGATTAAATTAGAAAAGTAACCTAACAACTTTTTATGATTATTTTATTAAAATATCATTTAAACGTTATCATAAAATTACTTTAGTACATATAAAAAAGTGAAAATGCCATGTATGCTTGCACTTTTAAGTCATGCAATTCTGCTTCACTTCTAATTAGAACATGAAGTTTGCATCTTCAGTAACATTCCTAACTTCCTTCATTATTTTACAAATATAAAACATATCGAATATTTCATACAATTGTGCTTATATTTACATAACAATCGTAGTTTAACATTAAATATTTTTAATGTATGATGATGATCTCATACTTTCATACTACAATTGAAAAAAACAGCAGTAATTAGGACACTGGCAGTAATTAGGAACAGTTACCCTATTTTTCTCAAAATATTCAAAATTGGAAGGTACTGAAAATATATAAATCTTATTTATCATTATCTAAGCCTTACATGTTATTAATTTTTATAATATATTTTTAGGTGATAGTATATCTAAGTATATAAGTATATCTGGTAATTCCCAATCAGTTAACATTGGAGAGATTTTGCTAATAAATGCGTTCTTTAGTGTTGACTTGATAACAGACAACATGAAAAATATATAAAAATACAAAAAAAAAATGAAAAATAAAAAAAGATGAAAAAAAATGTTAATAGCTTATTAGGAATATAGATAGAGATAAGTACAGAGTGACGGACTATTGTATGTTAACTTCACGCAAATAATTGTCGATTTGCCTTAAGTTTTTAAATTGAACAATTCCGTGCATTTTATCCCGTCAGTTAGTATAATATATTCGTACCTCTGATCATACATACACATATGAACACACACATAGACACATACGAAAAGTGAATATGTACGCTACGTTTCTTATTCATGAAAATATAATTGCTAAATAAACATTTAATAAAACCCATTATATTGTTACTTTACTGCTTACCAAAATTAGAGTTTTATTTATTAAACATCAGACTTGACTGATAAAATGCGGAATAATACAAAAGTATTTTTATTTAATACAAACTTTTGTGCACGAAACGTATAATTAAAATACAGTATTGAAAAGACAAAAATGTAAATGTACGGGGCATTTGTTTTATATATTTTTATGTGCAAAAAATATTGCCACAATACGTTGAAATTTGGCATAACTTTATTAATATTAATATACAAAATAACTTATCTTGCAACTTATCCTGTTTAATTCAAATGAAATAATTTTAATCCGATATTTTTAAACTAAAGTTTAAAATTGAACTATGTTTATTATTATGCTGTCATTTATATTTTTTATTTAATTAAATATATAAAATCAAATTTTTATTCAAAACACTATCAAAATGAAGATTTAAAAACAGATTTAA